TCACTACACAGCTCAGACTTGTAGTGAACTTCCTGTTTTCAACCTCCCCAGCGCTGGGATTACAGGCATGGGTCACCAAGCCAAGACCTCAGTGGCTGCTCAGTGCGCCTGGGGGGAGGGTCAGCACAGCATGTGGTACAGGGAATAGAACCCCATCCGTGCACTTGGCTAGGCAGGCACTTAGTTCACTCAGCTATCTCATCGGCCCTCAAGTAATTCTAGCCTACTATGGGTCTGTGCTGGGTTCTGGAACTGAAAAGGATAATCTCTGTCCTCTGTGGAATTTACAGATTGTGCACAAAGTAACGTATTAATTAGGTGGAAATGTCAAGACATGGTGACAGATGAGATATAAGAAATGAAGGAAAAGGTGGAACAAGGATGATGTCTAATTTCTACTTTGACAAGTACTTGATAGTGGAATAATCTTCTGCAAAAGGCATAATAAAGGCAGAACAGCTTCTGCTTAGGGTACACAATAAATTCCATTCCAAACATTTACCTGTTCAAACAGCATTTACTGTTTCACGAGTGTTATGGTTTGTGTCTAGGTGTCCCCCCAAAGCCTCAGGCAGTCTTGGGGAGGCTTCTGGAGTTTGTACTGATTATTGTGGGTGTGGATGCTGCACCTGCCCCGCTGCAGGTAATTTGCATTACAATGTAAGGAGGGAGAGAAGCTAGCTAGCTGCCTGAGCTGCTGCCACTTCCTCTGGCTCTCTGCTCTTTGTGGCCACCATGAAAGGTTGCTCTCTGCCATGTGCCACTCTGCCTTGGAGCCAGCTGAGTATGGACTGAAACCTCCAGTAACTGTGAGCTAAACAAACCTTTCTTTCCTTCAACTTGGGTGTAGGGTGTTTGTCCCAGCAACGAGAGAAGAGTAACTAAAACAATGAGGCTAGGGTATGTACCTATGAAATACATCCAAAAGGACTCTGAAAAGGATCTCAACAGGCAATAGCCATGATTTACTTTTCTACCAGGAAAATAGCATACAAAATTTATGGAGCGTGATTGGAAACTATAGTGAGTGCTTAAAATTTTTAACTTTATTACAGAAAAACATACTTTTCCATTAATCTCCCTCAAAGTACCCCCCTTTTCTTCAGTAATGCTTATCCTGTCAATCCTACCACTTTCTGAGGAAGTTCTGGAAGTCTTCTTTGCGTCTTTAGTGGCACTGTCATGGCTGCCTCAGTGTCTTGAATCCATTCAAAATGTTTACCTTTTAAGCTCATTTTGACACTAGGGGAAGAGCCAGAAGTTGCATGGTGCCTAAAGTGGACGGGACACGCTGTGATGTTTCTGCAAGCCTGCCTTTCCAAAGGACGGCATGCAAAGGCAGGATGCACTGTATTTCTTCTCATACCTTGTGAAGACACTCACGGAAGAGGATTTCTAGACAGCTTCACAAACTGACAAGGGTGATGATATATGTGTTTACAGTGAGAGGGCACATCCTGAGGGGGCCTAATGGCAATGCATCTCATATTACAGTAAACTTAAAAGTTAAACATTTACTGTATATTTTGAACATACCTCATATATCAAAAGTGACTATTCTTTTTTTTTTTTAAATTGGGGGGGGGAGCTCAGCCCACCAGGGGGCGGGGCGGGCTGGCATGTGGTGCTGCGGGATTGAACCACGGTCCCTGTGCTTTGCTAAGCTTGTTCTAAGTAGGTGCTTTAGACCACTGAGCCATCTCACCAGCCAAAAAGTGACTATTCTTACTCAACAAAGATTTACTCAGTACTTACCACCTGCACAAAACAAACTAAGTTTGTCTTCAAAGAATTCACATTCCAAGAACCTATATGAGAAATGTAGCAGCAGGCCCGCCATACATACCCAGATGGCCTGCTGGGCCCTTGGCTCCCACAGATTACACCCTCATTGTTTCCCTTGGGCTATGCCATCCTTCTACCGAGTAAATCTTCCCAAACAGACATGTAATTCTAGGAAGGAGATTTTCATGGCCATGAGGGCTCCTCGCTTCTCCCTCCGAGACCCTTTCCTTACTAAACAGATCCATCCCAGAGCTGTGTATTAAGCTTGGCATCAGACATAACATGCCATAATGCTAACCTTCCAGGAGGTTTAATTAAATGTGTACAGACTTACATCACTCATAGGTGAAAGTGTGTAAAAAAGGTTAGTAGACAATATTAAAAACTTTTCCCACATTTCTATTCTTACACAAACATGTGTAAGATATCAGGAATTACATATTTCTCTAATTTCAAGCCAGTATCTTGGAGTTATGGAATGAACAGTATGTATAAGGATCTAGGAGGCTGTAAATGAACATGTCTTTCTTGTCTCAATTTCTCTTTCTGATCCCCAGAAAAGATATTGGTGTATTAAAGCCTTTTTTAATAATCATAGAAGCCCACACTTGTGAAAGAATGAGTACAACAGAAACTAAGATTATAAACAGTGCGTATAAAAAGGAAAACAATGCAGAAACCTAGGTGTCTTAAACCCTTATAGTTTGGAGTATGGAAGTTCCATTGGGCCTGTGTGTAAGGAGAAAACATGACAGACTGAGAAATGTCAAAGAGAAAGCACATCTTAGGGACTGGAAAATGAGAGTTGGAAGGAGTCAGATGCTACGGTCTTTTTCTTAGAAAAGAGCTAGCTGCCAGTTCTAGAGAAGTACTATAGCAAATTTTTACACATCTTTGCAGGCTAAATCACTATGTTCTAAGGAGTCCATATATAGCTCAGACTCTGTGTCATGAGTACAGTACCAGGGGTTGGAACCCAGGGCATCACACATACGAGGCAAGCACTCTACACCAGCCACATCCCTAGACCATTTGTATTCATCATTCCTTCATTCAATAGGGCTAGAGATTGAACCCAGAGCTTCTGCACTGATAGTTCATTTCACATTTTTTTTTTTTTTTAAATTTTGAGGCAGTGTCTCACTAATTCACTAAGTTGCCCAGGCTGACCTCAAACCTGTGATCCTCCCACCTCAGCATCCTAAATAGTTAAGATTACAAACATGTGCCACCATACCTAGCACAGCGTCTTACAAGGAGTAAAATACTGGGTTAGAACCCGTGGCTCCAAGGGCTGGCCAAATAGCTCAGCAGACGCAGAGGTTAGATCTCCCGGGCCTGTGCTGGCCCCGCCCCTGGGGCCCGCTGAGACAGCAATTGAGATTGGCGTGGTGGCATGCAACTGTAATCCCAGCTCTTGGGAGGCTGTAAACAGGTGGATCAATCACTATAAATCCAATCTAGTGGATTGGATTTATAGACCCTTCCCTAAAATACAAAAAAAAAAAAAAAAGAACCTATGGCTCCAGAAATAATAAAGTATAGTCACCCAGGTGTAGAGCAGGGACAACACTCCTATCTCTGCACATAAAACACAGAGTACTAATCCTGGCACGAAGAGGACAGATAGCAGTTAGGGGTTACTTCACTGCACTTCTTGCTTGGGTAACAGATTGGCAAGCATGAGTTGTATAAATCACTTGCTTTGAGCAAAATAACAGTGAGTAAAAGTAAGAAAATATTTTCATGTGGTTTTCACCCCAAAATCCAGAAGTTGGGTCTCTGAAATGAAGAACCTACAGTTATTCATCTACAGTTTTCAAAGCCCTTGGGTGTGGCCGGGGACTTGCAGTGGCCTCAGTCAGGGTGCAGACATTTTTTTTTTTCAGACTTTTTTTAAGGTATGAGGATGAACAAAAGCCTGGATAGTTGATCAAGACTATGAGTGGCAGGTACATGGGAAGGACAGAAAAATATAAATATAAATGAAGTATAATTAGTTGAGCTACAGGTATGTAATATATTGTCAGCTAGGAGAATAATCTTTAAAAAGTAGTCAAATATCAACTATATTATTATGCAATCACACAGATATATTAATGTATGTACTCTGCCTTAGGGAATACTCCAGATACTAACCCTACTTTTGGACCACAAGGCCAAGGCTCCTAGGCCTAGATACAGGTTCGTGCTCATAAACATCATTGCCATAGCACTGATGACACTGTCAGAAAATGTCAGGCCAGGAGGCTGCACTCTGAGGATGCCCACTTATCTTCTATCCAGCTAAAGACAGGCAAGCAAGCTGGGCCGAGTGAAGAGCAGAAGAGGTATGGAGCACTAGCACCATCAGAGATAACAAACAGAAGAGGCCAGGGTGAAACAGCAGTTTCCTGGAGCAGAAATTCCATGGCATGCCAGCGAAGTTGGAGGAGGCACCTCTCAACACATCTTCACAGCGAGATGCTGCTACTCATCCTCAAATTTTTCCTCTCCTTGTCAAAAGCCCTATCTGAAATCGAAACCTTTCTCTTTCATCTCTTGTTTTGATTTTCCTATCTTTCCTACATCCACAATTTCTCAGTTGTTGCCACTTCCATCAATCTCCTGCAACTACTTTTTCAGATCCTTGGCCAGGATGATAGTAAGAGGAGCGCAGGTTCCCCTCAGTGGATCCTAAAAGGCTCTTGACACTAACTTTACATGGCCAATTCTGTGCTAGCAGGCAGTAAACACAAAACACAAGTACCTGATATTTTCATACTTATCTTCTCTTATTTGGCTCTGACTATTCCATACCATGGTTTTACCTAAAATTACACATTTTTTCAGGCTGCTAGAAAAATGGTCTTTCTTAAAAACTGGGTTATTCCACACTGCAGAATTTACTAATTCTCGGGGCCGGGGAGATGGCTCAGTAGGATAAGCGTTTGACTGGCAAGAGCGAGGACCTGAGTTCAATCCCCGGTTCCACCAAAAAAAAAAAAAAAAAAAAAAAGAATTTACTAATTCTTTGAATAATTTGTACCACACTAAACTCTTGAAAACAGGCTGGTTTATAATACAAAAATGAAAATACTAAGAATATGTAAATGGAAAATAAGTTGAAAATTATGTAAGATGAAAGAGTATTTAACATCTCAAACAAGAGCAAAATTTGAACTGATTCTCTAAATGTGAAGTGATCTTAAGAGTCTTATTAGATGAAAACCTACCTCTCACCATTAGGTCCCACTCTGTTGATTAATTTTTCCATGGCTTCTTCTGTCTCTCTCAGTTTTTCTTGCAGTTGAGCAAGCTCAAAATTGGCTGAAAAACAAGCACCAATCTAAGAGCCATCACACACAAGTCCCTGAGCCCATTCATGAAATACAGTCAGTTGTGACATGCTGTGATGATCCAGGCTGGTTCTGAAACTCAAGAGGAGACCAATGGTCTCTCGGGTCAAAAGGGTACAGAAGTCTAGGCTGCAAGGTCTGTGGGACACAGTTAGTGAATTAGAAATAAGTTACTACATCTTACATACAGAAATATATCAGGACGAACTGAAGAAAATATGCAGCAGTGGAAAACAAGCCTACATGGTCATCCAGGAAGAGATGCAGAAAACAAACATACTCTGTGTTCCGAATGAGGCCTAAGGGTAAAGTACCAAACCTATAACACACAGTACTTTAGAAAACAAGACTCTACAATGAGTACTATTCTTACCTGCACCTAAAGGATGATAACTTATCTGCAAGTCAATACATGCTGTACTTCTTAAATGGAGAAAGTCTTGAACTGAGGTTGGATCTCTGCACCCAGTGTTTTCTAGCCTAGTTATCTGGGATAAAGAATAGGCAGTGTTAAGGTGTAAGCCTGTCTCCTCAGGTGCAGTTCTCTCACCCAGTGTTGGTAGAAAGCTCAAGCAGCTACTGAAACTAACAGTGGGACCCTGTTATGGTTAGTGTATAGGTGTCTCCGAAAGCCTCATGCAGTCATGGGGAGGCTTGGCTTCTGGAGTTTGTGACTGATTCTTGATCCCATGCTGGGATAGCAGGTGTGAGTACTACACCCTAGCTCTGGGGTGGGTGATTTGCATTACAATGTAAGCAGGGGAGAGAGGCTAGCTAGCTGCCCCTGCCTTTGCTCTCTGCCTTTTGCAGCCTCTGTGAGCCTGAAAGGCTGTTCTCTGCCTTGTGCCGCTCTGCCTTGGAGCCAGCTGAGTATGGACTAAAACCTCCAGTAACTGAGCTAAATAAACCTTTCCTTCCTTCATTTTGGGTATTGGGTATCTGTCCCAGGAAGGAGAGAAAAATAACCAAGACAGACCCTAAACATAGAATAGAAAATAAATAAATAAAGCACTCAATCGATACGTGAAATGAACTGTAAGGCAGTAGGAAAGTAAAATGCTGCTTATTATGTATGTACATGATGTAGTTTTTCTATTTTATACCTGAGTATTTTTCTACCCAAACGCATCAATCAAGAGTATCATTACAAAATACACTATTTCAAAGGCCATTTAATGCTTCTAGAACAAACTCATGCATGCAGCTAACATCTGTAAAATGTCTAGAGGACTATGCTACTTAGTGCTTAGGTTATTTCTATTTTCTACATCATTGAAAATTAAAGGAGAAAAGCCTGCTATTAATGTTATTATCATTATTACAAAATAGCTGCTCTTAGGAATTCATTTGATTTACTTCTGTCACAAATGCATTATGAAGAGACACAGAACTTGCCACTATTTAGAGTCCACAAATTTTTTTTCTAATTACTGATGTACTTACTATCAATATCTCACTTAAGAACATGGCAGCCTTCTTCAAGTGTTCTTTGACTAAGATTTCTCAAAAGAGTGCATAATGTGACTGAGATCTCTAAAGCCATGGAGAATCAAGAGTAAACTTAAAAAGCCCTATGGTCAAGGGGAGGTGCTTCCATGGCTCAGTCTCACTTCATTTTGCCGATGAGTTTCTTTTCAAAACATCTGGCGAGGCTTAATTGTAAGGGAACAGTCTGGCCTAAGGTCCTCCTTCAGAATCCTTTTCCATAGCTGTCCCATGTGAACCCCTCCCCTCCCCCAGGCCCTGGACTTCACGGCAGTCTGTGTCCTACTCAAGTCTTCTGACGGGCTTCCTCCTTTTCTTCTTCTTAAAAAAAAAAAAAAAAAAAATTCCAGATAGGCTCTTTTTTATAGCCACTCAGACAGATATGATTTCTCATAATGCTTTTGACAAGTCCCTTCTTTCTAGGTAGCAAACTTTTCACAGGTTACTTTTCCTGACATTCATTCTAATCTATAAATTCTAAAACAAGAAAGAGGCAAGCTATACACATTTCATTTCCCCAGAGGGAGGGCACAGGATATTCTAGTTGGGCAATAAATAATTGATGACTGAATTTCAAAAGTCCAAAGTGTTAAACTCTTTCCCTATAGATAGTAACTAATTTTGCCAACAATATGATTTTCTGCCTCACTTTTTTTCTCTATGAAATAAAGATCTCTCCTACCAATATTTCAAAGTCTGAAATGAGAAATAACCCATTCCAAATGTGAAATATTAATTTGCCAATATATATAAAAATGAAACTGTTGGTTTTGTATTTTTTGTAGCATCCTGCCCTTAAAAGCCCAAGTCCAATACAGAAACTTCTGAGAATTCCCACAGCTAAGGTAAAAAGAGTATCCAATTAACTCAGAGCAACTTTGGAGAAATGCTCTTAACACATACCCACAAATTATTCCTCGGGCTGTAGTACAGCTGTCTGACTTAGTAACACCGGTGAATCTATGAGAAGAGGCACTTACTAATTTTCCTGTGGGTGTTTCCAGGTGTGGTGGTAGAACATTTCCGATCCTCCGCAGTTTTCCCCTTTGAAAGCTGAGAATTGAAGGAGGTACAGCACATCAACAGCAGCTCAGAACCTCAAAGTCATGGAACCCCTCATAGTAAATGAAAAAAAAAAAAAAAGGTTGGAAGACAAAATTTAAGAAATGAAATCAAACAGCAATATTAGAGAAATATCTGGAAGCAAAAAAAAAAACTAGTAAAATATTCAAGAAGGGGGCCAAATAAAACCGTCAAGATGTGAGGGGATCTGCTTTTAAAAGACTTACACCTGGGCGGGTGAGATGGCTCAGTGGTTTAAAGCACCTACTTAGAACAAGCTTAGCAAAGCACAGGGACCACGGTTCAATCCTCCAGCACCACATGCCAGCCAGCCCCGCCCCCTGGTGGGCTGAGCTGGCCACACACAATAAATAAATAAATAAAATAATAATAAAAAATAAATAAATAAAAATAAAAGACCTACACCTTATCTCCCCAAAGCTGCAGCCTCTTTATGCCTGTGTCTTCTGCTTGCAAAATCACTGGTTTCCTTTCCAATACAAATTAAGTTACTCATTAGATCAGGAATTAATATAGTCCAGGGACATTATTGGTGACGATATTAAAAATAGCATCTCACATGTCTGTGGGGAAAAATGAGACAAAGTGCTTCTGGTACTACCATTATTTGGTCTCACAGTGGTTACTTGGAAATCCCTGTGCCAATCCTAACGCTCTTCTAAGAATATATGTTTGTCTTTTCAGCTTGAAAACATGCTCACCAGTCTTTGGCTTTGAATTATGATGCTCACTGAATTAGAAATTAGAAAAGACTAGTTGTGCTTTTTTAGTTATAAATTCTGGAGCAACTTAAAATCTGAGCCAAGAGGTCTCATCTGTAAAAGTAAGAGAATAGCTATTCTAAGTACCTCATAAGAAAAGGAGACAAGGTTTAAGATGATAATAGAAGTGAAAGGGCTTTTGAACTCTCGGGGGCTTTAATATAGACAATAATTTTTATTACAATATTAGATTTTCACTGATATGACATGATTAAGATGATTTCACTTACCTTAAATAGAATGTACAATATATATAAAAAAATCCCAAAGCCATAGATTGGGATAATTTGCCCCATCAGGCCTCTTCCACTGCCTCCTCCAGCGCCTCCACCTGATCCTTTGGCTTTTGCAAATGCCTCTGCAAGGTGAGACCTCTGGAAACGACCTCCAGGAGATGGGCCATCTGAGGGTGCTGGCTGACGATGCATTATGGGGGGTAAACGCCCCAATTTTCCTGGGAAAATAAATGAATTTATCTTTTTCTCTTCCAACATTGTAAGCATGGTTACTACAAAAACAACTCCTGCATCAAGGTATAAGTAACACAAACTAAAAGAAACAAGTTTAATACTGAAACTGGATTAAGAGGATATGGATATATCACACAAACATTGAGTATCTTGTGGCAATAGCTAGCTATTTACCAAATGTTTTTTCTCTTCCTCTCGTTGCCATATCTAGAATACATTTTTCAACCTCCCACAGAGATAACAAGGACCTGTGACTGGCTTCCAGCCAAGGAGTATCCCTAATTGTCGTAGTTTCAGGCCTGGCTTACAAAGCCTTCCATGTATCCAACCCCACACTATTCCTCTTCTGTGGGATGGAGGGTGACACCCAGGGAGACTTGGGAAACCATATGTTGAAAATGGCAGAGCCTCCATCAACCCGGGTTCCCGAGCAGCCATGAGGCACAGGGCGCTCCACGCCACCAGCTTGCTAACTTACAGCCATCCGAATCTGTGTGTATGAGTAAGAAACCAGCTCCTACCGTGCTGAGGCTGTTGCCTACACTGCAGTCCATCTGGTACAGCAGTTAGCCACCCCTATCTCACACACATAAAGAACACAGTGTGGCCCGGGGGAGAGCAGCACCAGCAAGCGGAAATCCATCAGGACCCAGACAGCCACTTTCACATTCCAGCTCCAACTCCCCCTCTCTACAGGCTCCTAAGACTTTTCTGTGCTTCTCTGCACAGGTCCTCACGGTCCTTTTTCTTTGGGCCACTTCTCCAGCTTCTTGTGCACATACTGGACGATGGTCACCCTGAAATATCTCAACTTCCATGTCCTTCAAGAGGCCAGGTGAGGGGAACTACCCGCTCGGGCCCCTCTCCTGTCCCTCTCTGGGATGGGAACTTTCTTTCTCTCAATAAATATATTCTGTTCAAAAAAAAAAAAAAAAAGAGGCCAGGTGAGACTGGATGGACCTTAAATTCCTCGGGGTAACACTTACTACACAGCTATAACTGAGCCCAATCCTGTGAGCAGAAAAACAAGGCTCAGATTTCTTACTTTTTCCCCCTCCGTCAAGAGCAACCAAAAGTTCATGCCTCCTGAGAGTCACAGGTAAGAAAGGAAAGACACATGTTCAAAAGGATACGTGAACAAATGTGTATGAAAAACCGCTGATAATAACATTGCAGAGAAAAAGTACTAGAGAGCAGACTTTATAACTAAGACTGAAAATACAAACCATAAAATAAGAAGCTACTGAACTGGGCTTCAACAATATTAGGGATTATTGTATAAATAAACAACACCATGAACAGAGTTTAAAAGGAACAAAAGCAAAGAAGAAATTCTGCAACATTTAAAACTGACAAAGGATTACATGTTATGTACAAGGAGAATCTCCAACTCAACAGGAGTACCACAGAAGCCCAATTGAAAAGTAGGCAAAAGATATGAACAGATTTACAGAAAGAGATGCCCAAGTGGCTAACAATATATAAAAAGATGATTAAATTGAAGCTAAAACAAATCCTTAGTACTTTATACCCACAAGATAGGAAAAATGAGAATGGTGAATAATAGCAAAGGCTGGCAAAGTATGAGAAAGCAAGAATTCTCACGTATGGTGGGTAAGAATGTAAACTGAAAGACATTCTGCTAAATGATGTGTCTGTACTTAACATTAGTTATGTATAGGCCCTATGATCCAGTGGTTCCTCTTTGGTGGATAAATCTCCAAGAAATTTTCAAATAAGGATTTATATATGCAAATTACAAATACAGGCATGTGAGAATATTTGCTATGATGTTACAGCAGGGACCATGAAAGCTTTGATTTTTACAATGAGAAGAACATCAAATCAACATGGAGTAAATACAACTATGGAATTCTTTGTAGCTATTAGAGACCCCACTTTAAAAACTGTCAAACACATTGTGGTGCACACCTGTAATCCCAGCACTCAGGAGGCTGAGGCAGGAGGATCCCCATGAGTTCGAGGCCAGTGTGGGCTACATGGTGAGTTCGAGGCCAACCTGGACTACATAGCAAGACCCTGTCTCAAAAAACAAAATCATCAAACATCATGATGTAAGACAAACATGCACATAACTAAATTATATCTCTTTTAAGCAAACATGTAAGTGCAAAGGGGTGTGTATGAGCCAGGAAGAGAACAGGTATGTGGAATGAGAGTAAAGGGCTAAAAATAAAAGAAACAAGGAAAAAATCTTTCACTGATAAAAGTTTAAAGCGCTACAAGCTGAGCGCTCTCTTTATGCCAATTTTTTCTGTCATGTAAAAAAGAAGGTAAGATAAATTGTTTAAAGCAAAAAAAAAAAAAAAAAAAGGTAGGCAGGGAGATGAGGTGGCTAGCTGCTGTCCTGGAAGATGCCTTCTGCTTTACGTCCTTTCTCACCCACACTCTGCACCTATAGTCCTCCTTTCCCTCCCAATACCTGCGAAGACATGGAAATCATAGGAAGAAAATTTTCTTAAGAGAGGGCCAACAAAAGCAGAGCTTTGGAAAAGGGGTGAAACCACCAAATCACTATCCCTTATCCTGAGTGCTAGTCTCTTTTAAATTGTCAAGGATCTGAACATATTTGGTGGTAACTACTGGCTTTAAGGCTACCCTACACCTTCAGAAAAAGACTAGCTGCATCCTGGAAGCTAGTCTGCAGTGATAGCTGCCAAATTTCATTTTAATGTACTGAGAACACTGTCTTTAAAACTTCGCATGAAGCAAAAAATAAAATCTTAAAACATAACTGATATAAGGGCATGATTTTGCATTTTAAAAATTGAAGAATGACAATGCTAAACATTATACATCTCCCCAAAACTTGTATAGATCTCTCCACCATGCAGATGTGCAAGATACCTAAGGCTGTCCCACGTAGGAAAGTAAAGGTATCATAAGTTAAATATAAACAATAGTTCCCACATGAAACAGTACTTTTAAAAAGCAGTATGTCCAAAACAAATGCAAAAAAAGACACCACGGATTTGGTTACTAGAAAAACCAAATGTTTAAATATTAAAAGGGTGCAAAAATAAGTTTAAAAAGGAAGAGTCAAGTGCAGCAAGTAACAGCTGGAATCAGATTCCAGAGAAGCAGAGGCAGATCAAGAGGGCAGTTAAGTATGGATGCTAAGCTGGGAACAAGGCAACCACTAAACAGGTTCAACTGCTAAATTAGTTTGGCTCCATCTGGATAAGTAACAAGAAATAGAGAAGTGAAGAAGGGAAAAGAAGCTAACTCGTGTGGTGCACAAACTGGACTCAGCAGATCCTGGATCAGGAAGCTAGTCAGCTTTCTCCCATGAGAAAGGCACTTGAGGGAGATTAATCTAAGAGTAGAATACGAGGCCTAAAGAGAAATGAGGGTCTGGGGGGAAAAAAAAAACAGCGAAAAGACTATTACAGTAATTTAGTACTGAGATGCCTACAGCTGAGGCGCCTATAAAAAGAAAAAGACAGGTCCAAGGGCTGGTCCATGCAATTATTGCAGCAGCATTTAATACTGAACAGAACATCAAGCTGGCTGGTGGGGGAGCCAGCTCCAGGATGAAGAACCGAAAGTGAAGAAACAAGGAGGGCTTTATGATTACAGAATGACTGAGTACACATTTTTCATACATTATATTATGGGTGTTGTTGAACACAGAGAAAAAATATCAGACCACAATTAGGCTGGGGATACAACTCTGCTGCTACCCAAGTAATGAAGCTAACTAAAATGGAATGAATTGTTCCCAATATCAAAAAGACGAAATGAATATGTATGCTGATGTTCAAAAAGAAGAAAACAACAAAATAGGCTGGTAGAACCATTACCATAAAAGTCAGAGGACAGAATTAAAACCAACTGAAAAGCCTAGAAGAAAAAACTGATTAGGGCTGGGAAGAAAGCTTGGTGGTCTAACTGCCTGCTTAGCACATGCAAGGACCCAGGTTCAATCCCTGTTACCATATGCCATGCTGGACCTGTGTGCCGTGCCAGTCACCAAAAGCCAGCATGGTGGTACACGCCTGTAATCCCAGCACTGGGGAGGCTGAGACAGGAAGATCACTATGAGTCCGAGCTGCGTAGTGAGACCCTGTACCAAATAAATACGTAATTAATTAATTACAAAATAAAAAAATTGATTAAAGACTAAGGGAGTCCTTACATTTAGATACACTCCTGAGAAGAGGTGGCCATCATCTGTCCATTAGACAGTAACAGAAACCCAAGGACAGTATCTCCACATTACTCTTTGTCTCACTTTCCACAGTTTCAGTTACCCATTATCAACAATGGCTCAACAACATTAAATGGAATATACCAGAAATAAACAATTTATAATTTTAAAATGCACATCACTTTAGGTAGTGTGATCAAATCTCACGCCATTCACTTTATCCTGCTCAGGAGCTGAAGGGTCCCTTAATCCCAGCATTACACATTCTAGATCCAGCTAGCTCCAAAAGCCCCACAGGCTGGCGCGATAGTTCAGTGGACTAAAGCACCTGCTTAGGCATGCTCAGGCAAGCGCAGGGACTGTGGTTCCCACTCCCAGCACCACATGCCGGCCCACCCTCAGGGCACACTGAGCTGGCCACAAAGTCCGGGCGTAATGGCGCACACCTGTAATCCCAGCACTGGGAGAGGCTGAAGGCAGGAGAATCACCACGAGTCCGAGCTGCACAGTGAGACCCTGAAACAACCAAATACACTAAAAAACAAAAAAAAACAGGCCCCATGCATGAGTGCATGAGGCTGGGGGTGGGCTACGTACAAGCCATAGAAATGGATGCCTTGGGGCTGGGGAGATGGCTCAGTAGAATAAGCACTTCCCTGGCAAGTGCAAGGGCCTGAGTTCAATTCTTGGTTCTGCCAAAAAAAAAAAAAACAAAAACAAAAAAAAAAATGGATGCCTTCAGAATAAATGAGTTAGGAAAAGAATAAAGAAGAGGTTGTTGAGATAAAATCTTGGAAAGGGTGGACCTTAGAG